CTGAAATAGTTAAATTAATTATATTATAAAGTTTACCCTTTCCCATGGCCAGATTAAAGTCCTTTCTACCCCACAGTCCCTTCCAACAGCCCCTAGTGGAAGATAATTTGGATAAAACCAAGTAGGATATGTGTGACTGACATATGACGACTGAAAACAGAGGTCAGTGGCCTTCAGCGGTCAGCTTGCTGTCGAGGAGATCTACAACTCGACACTATAGGGGCCCGCATGCATTCAAAGAGCTCTGGGGCCCCTGACAGTCAAAGGCCCCGGGCCCCAGATACTCAGCCCAATGTCAAGTCGTGGTCGGTTTATAGTGTTCACTGGAGACACAACAGCTACACACTCTTAAAACTAAAAGATCCTCATTGGCATCTATGCATAAAGAACCTTTAACATTCCATTCAACAAAAGGTTCTTTATAGTGGAAAAAGGTTCTTTAGATTATTAAAATGTTCTTCACACTGTGGCACTGAGAAAATGTGGCAATTCTATGGCAGTGGTTCCCAAACTGGGGTACGTGAGGTGACAGAGGGGTACGCCAACAAAACGCTGAGTTTAATTCTACCACACCTTAAAATAACATTAAAACCGAGCATGGGTTTCTAACAGGCAAAATGCCACTTCTAGTGTAAAACAGGAGGTCAAATACATGGAGCATACGTCAGATTGTGTGCAGACTGTGCTGCCTCAGCGAATCACACTGCATTACTGCCGTTCTCCACTTCTCCACAATGTACCTTTGTGAAAGTGGGGATGTAGCACAAATATAGACACAGATTGTGTTAGAGATTGATTTATGATTGAGATGGTGAGCACTTATGGAGCTCGAAATGTGTCTTTATTACATGCGAGAAAATAAATGATCTGAGAGAAAAAAATGCTCACCCGACTGGCCAATAGGAACGTTCCAATAGGAAAAAAGAACGTGGCCCCGCCCATGACACAATTTTCACAGCGAAAGCAAAATCCTGACACGAGAGAAAAAAATTGCATCGAGAGCAAAGAAAAGCGGTTTGAGAGAAACACTTTTTCTTTTGAGAAAATGTTTTCACACTGATAGCAAAAAATATATATGTAAGGTTTTTTTTTTTCAAAGTATTTGGAGAGAGATTTTTTTTCTCAGAAATAATTTTTAAAAATTCTAATTTATATTTTTTTATGTTCTATGAGAAAATACTTTCTCTCAAAACTTTTTTTCGTCTCAAAAAGTCTATTTTTTGCTATTGATATGAAAACTTTTTCTCTCAAATATTCTTTTTTCTCTCATGAAATGCTTTTTTGCTATCAGTGTGATAACTTTTTCTCTCAAACTTTTGTTTCTTTCTCTCAGATCATTTATTTTCTTGCATGTAATAAAGACACATTTCGAGCTCCATAAGTGCTTATATTTTTTTAAATAAAGATAACACTTTGTTTAACAGTTTTATCTAGTAAGCTATTAGACAAAACTGTATAACAGAGAATGAAGACGGATAATGTGAGCGCTGTGTGCTCAGGCACTGCCGTTCTCAGAGCCGGCACAATAAAAGTCCTACTTCCAATACATCGGCCAAACACAAAAAATTATTGGCCGATGCCGATAAAAATTCAAAATATCAGCCGATATATTGGCCTTGACGTGACATACATTTAATAGGGTTAGAAAAAAACCTGCCTTTAAAAAAATGCACCTGAAAATCTTCTTTAAAGGAGAACTCCGGTCAATTTTAACATTGAGCTCATTTTTTTGTACATTTGGAGTGCTGTCAGTACAGACAAAAACGACAAAAATCGGTGTTGCCTACACCGTGTTATCCTCTTTTTAAAATTCGCACCCTGTTGACTTCAATGGGGCAAGTTCTAAACCTGCTTTTAGCCTCTTAACAACCTTAATGTGTCATTACAAGTGCACAGCCATGTGAGTGGTGTTATTAAGAGTGACCACGGTCAATCTGACTGCAATAGATGTGCAAGATATTAATAAAAATGATGTTAATTCAGCCAGCTCACATACCTGTATTTACTTCCTGTTTTCGTTCGAAGTCCACAGTAGTCGATTGGCGAGTTCGCGCGCGCGATCATTGGTAACTAATATAATGATCGCGCGCGCGAACTCGACAATCGTTTAACGCCTCGTGACTAAACAAAGGGCGCCAATGTGAGTGTGCACACCGGCGCGAAAAATGCCACGCGTAAAAGCATCATTTTTTTTAAAACGCCTCGGGTTCGTTTTTTTAGTTAGACGCGCCACGTCAAAAACTATCCGACCAATGAGATTGGCGCTTTTGCTCACGTGTCTGGAGCTTCTGAAGTTACAGTAAAACACAACTTGGGGGCGCTCAAACACAAAACGTTCTTGCCGAGCACACATACGTAACGGCAAAGAAGATATACGCCAAGTAGCGTCTACACTGCCAAGGAGAAATAAGACGAGGAAGACGCAAGGCAAGATGAATGTAGAGCTGCTGGTCTCGTTGGTGTCGGAACATAAAGAACTATATGACAAACGCCACAGCAACTACATCTGAATCTTAATAAAAGAGAATGTTATGGAGTGGTATTGCAGAGCAAATGGGCGCCATCTAATGTCAGGGAATGAATTTGCATGTCCACTCGGCTCATCGTCAGCGAAAATCGCTAGGGTGTGAACACAAAAAAACGCGTTGAAAAACGCTGGCTAATAACACGCGCCGATATTCGTCCCGGTGTGTACGAGCCTTTAGGGTTAAAGGTTAATCTTCTTAAATATTGTCCCTTCATGGAAAAGGTGTGACTGCAGTCTAAGTGGAAGAGACGCAGAAGGATGTTAAATATCTCAGAGGTACGACAAAGTACGGGAACCACTGATCTATGACATCGCTGCATGCGAAACCCCCTTTTGGAACCCTTATTTTTAAAGAGGATCTATTATACCCTTTCTCAAAGTCTTGATGATGTTTCCGGCTCTACTAGAACAAGTTTTCCTGCTTGAATGTTGATTATTCTCCTCATATTCTCCATTGTTGCGGCTCCTCTCTTCCCAGTCTGTCAGTAACGCTCTGTTTACTTCCTGTCTCTATGAAGCCCCTCCTCCTGAAAAGCACACTGTGCTCTGATTGGTCGGCTGGAGCAGTGTGTTGTGATTGGTTGAGCGCTTCGAGTGTGTTTGGGTAATATCCCGCCCCTAATTACCATAACCGCCAGTTTAACACACTACTAACTAACTCAACCAGGCCCCGCCCCTTTATTTTCCATATTAATTATTATAATGAGGAATATTGTGACGTGTTCGTTCCCGGAAAAAACTCGAGACTACAGTGGAGGCGTTTCAGGAGTTCAGGAACACTGACTCTGATATAGAGGAGAACTGGAGCTTTCTCATGATCACACTATCCTCCTCTCTAATGCTACTGTGTAAAGCTCTGTCTGCATGCGCTCAAATGCACAGCAAGTGTTGACGCTTTCCTGTTATGCTATCACACATCGCATGCACACTTCAATAAGCCCAAAGAACGCATGCGTGTACATGCTGGGAGAAACCGGGCCGAGGGTCCAGATCTAGCGGAGTCGATGGGTCTATGACTTTACTGTGCTAAAGGGAAACGTGTTTACATGAGCACCGCCTGCTTGTCCAGTAGAGCCGGGATACGAGCAGGCATGTGAAAGTCTGTCGCTGGATTCATGGAGTCTTCTCTCAGAGACGACACCTAAATCAACTATCTTAATTTATTGGATTAATATTTCTTTTGTTGACCATACATTAATGACAGTGAATAACAGTTCTTGTTAAATAGGTTGTTTTTTAAGTCTGTGTTTGAAGCTGCTTTTGATTTGCACAGATGACTGATGTGTGCTGTGTTCACACCTAAACACTGATATTAGGCCTGTTTTAGTGACATTATTGTTTTTATTAATTTGTAATTGTATTGTTTTTAGTGTTATTAGTGTCATTAAATGATTTGTTAACAGTGTGCACACTACAACTGTAGTCCTGTAAGAATGATGTGTGTGTTAATCGCAAGCGCTCTTGGCGATTAGTGAATAGATCGCCTGATATTCAATTAATGATGGGATGTCGTTTTGTAGTCGGTTTTAAAAACATTTTCATTGAGGATCTCAATCCTCATACACGCATGTCGGTGATGAAATTAGGGAAGTTCCTAATATTATTAATACTAGCCTTATAATAATGATAATAACGATAATAACAATTATTGACGCGCCAACAATCGTCTTGCAATGATTGGACGAACATGTGTCGATCCTGAGACTTCCACAGAAGATCTATGAACATGTTTTAATATTTGACCACTTCTTGCTAAGAGTTTCTACCAATATACTAGAGAGTAGTTCCGTTTATTGGAAAGAACAAATTAACAGAAAACACAAAAATGGTTTAAATTCAAGAGGGTTTTGATCTGGGGGTCTGAAACAAACATCAAGAACCACTGATCGAGAAAACACACATTTGAAGGCTAATTGGACTTTCATAGTTACTGAGATATAGACCTTGTGACAAGCCCTCTGTGTGACAACTAGCCCCGGTCTCCTCTGTTCAGAAGCTGAGCATTACTATGGGAAATATATCCCTGTGTTCCCGGTTCTCCCTCAGTGTGGGAGCCAGTGCAGGGCATCAGAGACATGATGAGCAGAACCACACCCACAGACACTGACCACTGCAGAGAAACATCTGTGGCCATCACACACACACACACACACACCGCTGACGTCATCGTGACTGACAGCTGTCTCCTTCTGGATGTTCACACACACACACACACACAGCATCGCGAGCTCAGAGTCGCTGTTAAATATGGGTGTGATGTTGCGAGCACGAGCACGAGCGCGAGCAGGATCAATAAACTCTCTCCGGTCAAAGTGACGAGACAACAAATTCATTCATAACGCTCATACAACCATTCGCATTCAATTATTTATTGTATCATACAGATCCTCCCACATAGCAGTGCGTGTGCCGGTGGATCAAACGGAACAGTGCACGTTATCCAGGTTGTAAATGAGCATTTGTTGTACGATACCCCGTGAGTTGCCGGAGGGTCTCAGGTGTCCGCGGGCAGGCCGAACACGAGCGCCGAATCCCCGCAGAGAAACACGCCGGTCCCGGGAAGGTGGACGAGGCTGTCGAGGCTGTTACAGTGAGGGAAGCGTTACATTAGTCTCCACTACACACACATCCGAGAGAAACCCGACTTCCCAATCCTACTACTGTGAAGGTCTCGTTTAATATTCATGAGCAACGCTTTCGCTATTGGAAGGAAGCGATGCAACGTCAACCCTGTGTAGACTCGTTAATATCCATGAGCCAAGCGATAGACTGTAGTAGCGCATCAGCTTTAATATATGACTTCAAACAAAGTCAATATACAGTGAGAACTGCAACAATACACATAGAAAAACAGACAGCCAGGGGAGGCTAAACATTATATAAATATATTAAAGGACTCACAAACAGAAAGAGTTTTAATTGCTTTCTTATTATGTGAATGGAAAAAAGTATTGATATATATTTGCATTTATTTTTCAAGAACCAAAAACAAAGGTTAGGATTTACTGTAGGCCTACTCACATTTATCTAGGCTATATGAAATTTAGCAAAAAATTATACATTTATAATATAGAAGGCCTATTCTTTCCTTTTATTTGGGGGATATTGGTGAAACCAAATAAAACGTTTTCTAAACACAAAGAAAAAGTGGGGTCAATGTTATCAATTATAAATCTAGACAAATCTTACATGAGCACATGAGCAAGGTTTCAGCCAATGTGTTGCAAAAAGAACAGTTCAAATCAATATTCTTTTTTAATTTATCAAGAAAATTAATTACTGGCCTGGGTAGTATCTGTTTAAGATTTTGAAAGTTATTTCCTTAATTTTATTTACCAATAAATGTTTGTTTGGTAAAGTCCAGATGGCCTTCCATAATACACCTTCCACCAGTCTATGTCAGCTTTAATATTCATAACCCTTTGTCATAGTACGACATAGAAGGACGCCATCCAAAACTATAAAAAAAATTGTGAAGTGCCGTAATGCATTAATTTTAAGTTAATAGGTCTATTTCATTAATAATAAAGCTTAAGGGGGGTTTCATAGTGATGCCATAGAAGAACCATTTTTGATTTCGCAAAGAACCTTTCAATTAATAATTCTTAAAATAAAAAAATTACTAGTTTGACGAACATTTAAAAAATCTAAAGAACCTTTTTCCAGTATAAAGAACCTTTTTTTAAGAGAGTGTAAACTGTAATCGCAACACAAATTTATGTATTGTGATACAATGAAAATGAAATAATAACGATATAATAATAATGAAACACATCTAAACAGTCTAAAAAAGTCTAATGCCTATCATAATAAAATGTCCAGTTTTTATTATTATTACAGTTTTTCTCAATTGCTAAAACACTAAACCCTATTGTCTGAACCAAATGCTCAGTTGCCTGAACCCACTGATTGAATCAATCACTCTTTTGGCAAAACCATAAGCACTTTTCACCTGTTTAGACACAACTTGTCAACACATTTTCATTGTGATGCACCCGTGCTGCATAATGGTGAGCACAGGTGACAAAAGTCAAACACAATTAAAGCACAGTTGTCACCACTTGAACACAACAACTCAAAATTGATCACACTTGTGGCTAATGATGTGGGCGAACATATACAGTAAGCCAGTTCAGAGAGCACTGGTTTGTGAGGCTCTACAATGGATAGAAATCTGAGAGGAAGAGTTCGTGTGAGAGGAGGTCGAGGTGGTCAAGGTGGTCAAGGTGGTCGAGGTGGTCAGCGAAGACAAAGAACAGTAATATCTGATGAAATCAGAGCTACTGTGATTGACCATGTTCTTGTCCATGGTATGAGCATGAGGGAGGCTGGACAAAGGGTACAACCAAACATCAGTAGATTCACTGTGTCCACCATAATCCAAAGATTTAGAGAAGAGAACAGGTAATTACCTTTTTTTGACATTATAGTACAGTATGTAAATGTTGACAGCAATTACTGTATGACACTATATACTGTACCACAGTATACTGTAAGTAAATGTATGTTTCAGTACATCACTGTACCAATGTACTGTAGTATTGTAATGGAGGGTTGGTCTAACTGTTTGTAGGCCTAGTATTCCATGTATATTTTTTTGTAACTCCATGTTCTCTTTATGTAGAATTGAAAGACTGCCACATGGGGGTGGGAGGACAGGTATGTTCTCCCCACACCAAGAGACCCTAATTGTTGATATGGTCCGTGAGAACAATGCCATTAAACTGAGGGAAATTCAGCAGAAGATCATTGAGGACCATGTAAATTTTGAGGGTATCAACAGTGTCAGCCTCTCTACTGTTGATCGTGTCCTCAAGCGCAACAGACTGCGCATGAAACAGCTATACAGAGTGCCCTTTGATCGCAACTCAGACCGAGTCAAAGAGCAAAGGTTCCAGTATGTACAGGTTGGCATATATCCAGACACATTCAATGTTGATTACTCTAGGTAGTGATTTACTGTAGTGGCCTAAATCACTTTTTCTGTATCACTTACAAAACGATATCTATTTCTACAGAGGGTTTTTCAACTGGATGCAATGGAAAGACCCCATGAATACATCTACATGGATGAAGCTGGGTTTAATCTCACCAAAAGGAGAAGGAGAGGCCGTAATGTGATTGGCCATCGGGCCATTGTTGGTGTTCCTGGGCAGCGTGGGGGCAATGTCACATTGTGTGCTGCCATCAGCAATCATGGGGTTGTCCACCATCATGCCAACCTGTGGCCCTACAACACTCACCAGCTCCTCATTTTCCTCAATCACATGCGAGATGCTCTGTTAGGGCAGCAGGAGGAGCATCCCATCTATGTTGTTGTTTGGGACAATGTGAGTTTTCACAGAGCCCTCCAGGTTAGAGAGTGGTTCAATATGAACCAAGGATTTATCAATCTTTGCCTTCCACCGTACTCCCCTTTCCTGAACCCCATTGAGGAATTCTTCTCCTCATGGCGGTGGAAGGTATATGAACGCCAACCTTACACCAGGGTCAATCTCCTGCAAGCCATGGGACTCGCCTGTGGTGGCACAGGTGTGGAGGCATGCCAAGCCTGGATACGGCATGCCAGGGGTTTTTCCCCCGTTGCCTGACCAAACAAAATGTGGCCTGTGATGTGGATGAAGTCCTGTGGCCTGACCCAGTACGGAGACATGATGCTGTGGCTGAGTAATGCACTTATTTGTATATTTTTGTACTTTATTTTTACATGGGCTTACTGTACACAAGTGGCAAACGCATACGATTTCTGTTTGATTTTACAAGTGCTACGTGTAAATGCACAAGATTTCTGTTTTGTCTTTTTGTACAAGTGCTACAGTAAATGCACAGATTTTTTGTTTTGTTTTGCAACATGCATTTAGCCTACAGTGAACAATAAACATTTATTTCTCCAGCTTCATGTCCTGAGCATTGTGTTTTCTATTTTTCTACGTAGTATTTAGTGACTGTTCAGTAGTGTTTTTAATTTTGATTGACTCGGGGCACGATTTGACAACATAGTTCAGTTTTGAGCACAGATTGAACTGTTTAGAGGTGAAAGTTTGGTTTTGCAAGAAGAGTCTGAGGTTTTGTGAATGTAGCTTGAAAAATGGGCTTTGTGTTCACAGTTTAGAGAAAAGGAGAGCAGCTTTCAAGAAATGTGTCTTAGCGATTGAGAAAAACTGTAAGTCAACAGGGTTCCTTCCCAGCTGATGAACTTAGGGGATGAGAAGTGCTTGGGAGAGAGAGAGAGAGAGAGAGAGAGAGAGAGAGAGAGAGAGAGAGAGAGAGAGAGAGAGAGAGAGAGAGAGAGAGAGAGAGAGAGAGAGAGAGAGAGGATTGAATGAGTGAAAGCACAGTGGTGTGAGTGAGGGAGGAGTGAGGGCTGAGAGTGGGTCTCTGCTGAGTGAAGTGGAAAATCAGCCTCAGCCTCAGAAACATCACTAAAGTGCCATCATTCTGACCTAGATTCCCTCGCTCTGACTCCCTTGTATATGTAGTTAAACACAGACATTACAGCATGCATGATCAACACCATATGTGGCCCACTACCCAGGGCCAAACACACACACACACACACACGTTGGGTTTTAGTGTTTTATGAGGGCTCTCCATAGACGCAATGGTTTTTATACTATACAAACATCTTGGGTTACGACTGTAACCCCTGTTCCCTGAGAAGGGAACGAGACACTGCGTCGGAACGACACTTTGGAGAACACCCTCCAGCGTAGCGCCTCTGAAGCGTGAATGAAACTAAGCCAATCGTGATTGCTGTTGCGTCATGACGTAACGTGTGACGCCGTACATGGAAGCTACAAAGGGACACCGGCACACAACAAAGTTAGCTTCTGTGATGAAGCAAGTCGCTCCCAGGCAGGAGAAGGCACGAATACCCACTATCCCACAACGAAACCTGCCTGTCCCAGTGTGAAGCTGTCTCAGACACAACTAGGACGAGAGCACTCGTGCAGACCATAAAATCTCATAAATGTACGAGGGGTGGCCCAGCCAGCCACATCACAGATCTCCTGGAGAGGAGGGCTCTAGAGCAGGGGTCCCCAACCCCCGGGCCGCGGACCGGTACCGGTCCGTGGGTCATTTGGTACCGGGCCGCACAGAAAGAATAAATAACTTATTTCCGTTTTATTTATTCACACATTTACCTGTTCACATATCGTGTCTTTTGCGCGCTCAAGTTTGTTATTTCAAATGTAGGCGCGCGGTATGCGCGCTCATAATGGAAGCGACGCGCCCGTTTTATCCAAGCGCGTCCGCGCCGCATCGAGATAAAAACATCTCAACTTTTCAGAATGCCGCAAGCGCACTGTAGGTCACGTGACAAGAACCAACCAATCATCTTCCACACTGTAAACTGCTGCACTAGTTACTAGTAAAAAATATTTTTACTAAAAATATTAATGCTCACAACTGATTCCTTGTTAAATCCATCATTGTTTATACAGAATTGTTCTATATTCTATATATAAATGTGTATGTGTTTGCTATTTCTGGTGTTTTATGACCACTTCAGTTATAGTCTAACCTCAGACAAATACAGAGCCGTTGCGCAGGAGAGATCAGTTAGTTTCACGGCAGAAGCTCCGTTTACTGATGCTTGGGCCAACTTTTCTTAAAATATAATCAAACTGGTCCTTGTCCACTCTGAAATAGGCTTTGAAC